CATTTCCCTCTCCAAGTAAAACTAAGAGCTCAAGGCACTCCTTCTCAAGGAGGATCGATGTAGACTTTGGCAAGTTTGCATTAAAATTGAGATTTAGAACTAAGAGGCTCAAATAAGCATGAAATATCTCCCCTGAAATGAATAAAATGTGTTTTTTTAATAATGAATAAAATGCCTTTTAATTGATTGGCTGGTGTTTTATCTGTTACAAAGCCGAAGTGAACATGTAAATGATGTGGTCAAGGGCGAGAGCTGCTGAAGATAAGAATAACAGAAATCTTAACACTTAATCTTCGCTTATTTTCAGAGCCAGTAAGGAAAAAAAACAAAAACAAAAACAAACAAAAAAAAAAAAAAAAACGCACATCACGTATTTCCAGAAACTAATAACAAGCTACACGCTGTACCAGGAACATCTGTGGAGACAGCCACCGAGTGCATTAGATGTTAGTTATTAAGGCTGACTCTAAAGCAGACACAGTTACTCAGCCACGCTGAGCTGTGGTGAGCATTTACTTAATGCTGGCTTCTTAGACTAGCACATTAACTTAAGATGAGGCAGTGCATTAACTGTTCCTCAAAACAAAAGAAAATACTTGATCACTGAAAGTGTCATTGTCCTGGTTTCGGCTGGGATAATTAATTTTTCTTCAGCTGAGAGGGGGCATAGCTGGAATGCCGGACCCAAACTGGCCGATGGAGTATTCCATACCATGTGACATCATCTATAAAGGAGGAGTGGCCGGGAAGGATGGGGGGTTCACTCACGTTTCGGGAGTTGCAGCACCAGGTGCCACATGGGCAGCGGTACAGAGAGTAAAGTCTGCGGTCGAGCTGAACCCGGCTGAGATATCAGTCCCTGGGTATCAGTTGGCAGGTGGTGAGCAATCACATTGTACATTACCCACCTGTACTTCCCATTATTGTTTTATTACAATCACTAAACTGCTTTTTTATCTCAACCTATGAGTCTCCCTTTATTTCTTCCCCCGTCCCCAGGCAGGGGGAGGGTGAGTGACCGGCTACATGGTGTTTGGCTGCTGGCCGAGTTCAAATCATGACAGTTGTGAACTTCCACTGGCTTGGGATCTACTTTCAAATCGGCTGTCCTACTTGCTCCAGGCTTTCCGAATACCTCCCTCCCAGGGTGCTCTTCGTACGTTACTTCATATGCTCAAGAACTGTCTACAACTGGATTAAGATGGTTTATATTTAGGGTTTTTGAGGGGGGTTAAATATTTCAGACCAGTTTTACTTCCCAGCAGAAGACTGCATTTTCTGGCAAGCTGATCATCTTTAAAAAGACTGTATATAGAGCATGTTGCTGAGTGACTGCTAATACTTTCCCTAAGCAAGTCACTCAATGGACTAGTTCCACTGAGGCGGCTTACCTGCAAGAAGGAGTTTCTAGGCTTGCCCTCGTGCTTTGTAACTGAGTGTCTTTTCTCGCTAAAATGATTGTCTCTCATCTGTGTGTCAACAAGAGTAGAGATAAGAAAGATTAAAATAAATATTTGACAAGCTACAGGCTCATGGGTGAAACAAGCAATGTGGGTTGCATGTGGGTTGCACTTATATTTTTGACTGTCCTAATACAATTTATTAATTGACCGAACAGGATGATACAGAAGCATCTTGCATGATTCAAGTACTAACATCTGTGTAAAATCAAACATGCTCACTGCTGGATGACTTGATTCTGTAAAGAAACCAATTAAGTCAAGTGTTCAAACTTGCTTGTTACACTCTGAAAGAGATGATCAAGTTTGAAACCTAAACAGAAATGAATGCACCTGAAACTGCTGGGTTCAGTATAATCACCCTTACCTCCTGCTTTATTTAAAATAGATAAGTATCTTTTTACTAACAAGGTATAAAAACTGTGAGAAAAAAATGTCAAAAAAGCATGCTTTAATATTTTCTTAAATTAACAAATGTGATTGGTTACTTTAAAAGTTGGTGACTTTAAAACACAGATATAAATGAAGAAAGCCTTGTATGAGCAAAAAAAGTATAGACTAGATCAACACATCTTTTAAACATTACAGAAGTGCTTTAAAGCAAGACCTTAATCATTTTCAAGCTTAGCTCAACAAGTCTAATTATAACACAGAGAAGTCGGAGACTGGAATCAAAGAGAACTGGCTGAGAAAACAATGATGGTATACTGTGAGTAATTCTTGTTACGGTAAAGTTCAAGACCCAAATAGGAAGTGGAACAAATTCCAAAATCTGTAGTAGAAGAAGTGGCTTTGGTTCTTAACAATCCATCCCAAAAGGAATTTCTATTTAAGTATAAATAACTGAAGTTATTGATATGAAGCTATTAAATCAATTAAAAGATGCAACGGAAACTCTTGGAGCAGTAGGAAGGTTTTGCTTTGGTACACAACAAAAATCTCAGCTACAAACTTCTCTCAGCGCTGTTTGCACAGACCCACGCTTTAAGGGTGCACCTGCTGGGCTTTCGAAGCAATTCCGGTAGCTCATGCTCCCAGTGAACTCTCTCAGAGCAATCCATGCGTGGGCTTAAAGACTGACAGCAAGGACCTGACCACCCTTCCATTTCTTCACGTTGTTACAGCTTCTCCACCTGCCCAACATCAAACTGTAACACCCCCAGCTGCTGGAAGCCAGGATTCTCCTGACGATAAGCTTTCAGCCTGGCTGTGTTTAAATACTGCCGCAGCAGCAGTGCTCTGCCAAATTGTCAGGTGGGAGGTGTGGTGTCGTCTTTTTTTCCCTGATCTGGATTATTTGCTCAGACTTGTTTCCCCTAGGTGGGAGCTGTAACTTACCTGGGCCCCGCAACACAGACAAATTTCTTCCAATTTCTTTCATCAGTTCTTAGGCACTGGATCTCTGATATTTTTTCAAGATATTTTCTGGGGTTTTTTTGGCTACCTTGGACCAATTTATATGTAGGTAACATGATAGAACCATCATGCCATCCTGTCACTAAGTGAGAATACTTTTTAACAGAAATAAATATTGTTAGTTTATTTTCATCCAGTAGCACTCCAATGCTTTAGAATTCAGATTACCCACTTAAGAAGTTACACTGAAAAAAATGACCACCTGCTGCCGCTTAACATGCACCACCTCTCCTCATATTTTTTGAGAGTGGGAATCAGATCAGCAAATAATTGAAATTCACATATCAACGATTCCCCCGCATGAAAGTCTGCACCCCTACCAGTGTAAAAATCCAAAGGCAGGATGCCAAATGTGTTGGACCACCCTCTGAAATCGTCTGTGGTACACAAGGCTACCAGACTTGCTGTGTGGCTTTTGATTCTGTGTAAAAGGTACTTCAATTTCCTTGTATTAAAAAATGTATCAGAATCTGGTCAAGCAAGTCTGTCAGCTCCCTTTCAACCCTCCAAATTTAGCATACAATTTAGAGGAAAAGGAATTCCTTCTGCTGTCCTCAAAGGAACTGTTCCACCTGTGTTTACTGAAATAATCATTAATTATAACACAATGGAAATACTGACTGGAACAAAATGGAACACTTGGGCTGAACCTCCATTCAGCAGTGGCAAAGCAGGATCTAGGGCAAAGCACCCCGCCTTTAAAGTATTAAGCCCAACTAAGTTCATAGCATCTTTCTGATTAGCGCTGTCTACAGCGGAGGCAAGAACAAGCCTTTGAGCACAGTTTGGTCAACACTTCAACAGGCACAAGCGATTCCAGGCATCACGATCGAGCTGTAGGTGTTAACTGTCACCTCGGGAGGCACCCTGTCCCCTGGGACACCGGACCAGGAGCCAAAGCCTCTGGGCTCTGGGGGCAGGAGGAGGTTTAGCCCTGCGCAAACCCTTCACCTGGAGCCGGGGTGTTAATGTAAATTTGGTCTCAAAACAACCCCCCAAGACTTAGATGGAAGTTTTAGCAGGCAGGGATTCTTTATTGCAGTGCTGGATGCTGGGGCATCACTCCACCTAATGTGCATGCCGCAAGACAAAGGCACACTCGTATTATATACAATAAAATAAATGAATATTCCTGTAATTTCCGAGAAGTGCACACCTATTTCCAGAGGATCAAACGCATATGTTAATACATCGCGCCAGTACTAAAAGTTGGGGAAGTGTCTCTGAGGGGCTTCCATAGAGGTTTTTGGTGGTCTGGGGTGGTCCCTAGTGGTTGTTGAAGAGGTGTTTTAAGTGTCTTTCCCATTTTTTTTTTTTCCCACATAATTCGTCTTGCCACAGCGCTGAGGGATCTGGTGGAGTTGGGAACTGTCAGTGTAAGGTTAATGGTTGGACTGGATGATCTTCAAGGTCCTTTCCAACCTAGACGGTTCTGTGATTCTGTCTTGGCTCAGGGCTCTGTCTCTAAAGTTTCTCAGCCGCCTCATCTTTGGCTCCCACAGGGCTCTGCTGGTTTCTCTGCCCTCCCCGGGACGTGCCCATCAGAGGGGCAACAACCCTGTCCTTGGGCGCATTCCTGCCGGGGGCCCCTTACAGCAGGGAGCACCAGCTGCTCGCAGGCATCCACGGGCGGGCACCACGGGAAGGGACAGCCGCTTGCAGCGGCGGCGCGGGGCTGAGGGGGGCCCGGCCTGAGGGCGATGGGCGGGGTGTGCCTGTGTCGTCTGTGTGTGCCTGTGTGTGCCTGTGTGTGCCTGTGTGTGCCTGTGTGTGCCTGTGTGTGCCTGTG